ATATATAAAAGAAAGTTCATACAACACTAATAAACAAACAACACTTATCTGAAACTCTTTCTCAAAGTAAATCCCTTCTAGCCTCTCCTAGGAAATGTAGAAAGAAGAAATCTCTCACTTTTTTCCTTCTCTAACACCCTTAGAGAAGAATTCACACTTAGTCTAACCACAAAAACTCTAAACTCTTAAAGAAAATCACTAATAGACTCCTGAATGGTGGTGAAATGAAAATGGAAAAAGTGTATGGAGGCGAGTTGTGGCGAAAATGAGCAAGGAGGAATGAAGAGGAGTCTCTTTTCTGATCATTTTAGGCCCCAAATAGAGCCTAGAGTCGGTTCTCCAATGGTTGCATAAAAAACCCTTCAAAAAGCGTCTAAATTTGTCTAATTTTCTTAAAAGCGTCCAACATCGTCAAATCTTCTAGAAACAGTGTCTGAACCGACATTGGCGCCGTCGGCGCCCATTTTGGCACCGTCGTTACTAGTGGTCCATCAGTGGTCCATAATTTAATTCACTGTTCTCTGTCAAATGGCGCCGTCGGCGCTGCTTCTGGCACCTTCGGCTACCTTCGGCGCTGAGTAAAATCTACCATATGTTCTAGAAGTCTGCGCCATTGGCGCTGCTCTTGGCGCCGTCAACGCTGAGTATTTATTTAAAAATGTCATTTTGACTCCAAATTTCATTCTTTTTGCTTCTATTTTGCTTTAAGTCTTAAAAATCAACAACCTTAAAAAAATATAAAAATACATTCCATTAAAGTGCAATATCACCAAAAATGAGTATTAAATATGGGTCTAAAAAATGCATATATTTTTGGTGTATTACTCATCTTAAGGTAAGATTGGCCAAAGGATTTAAAGTGATGGACTCTGGACAACTCAAATGCTTCATTGGGATTCAAGTGACTCGTGGACCAGAGGGGAAGGTCATGTCTTAGAGGAAAAATGTTCATGTCTTAGAGGAAAAATGTACTGGATCTTCTTATAGAAACATGCATGCTGGGATACAAGCCTACAGTCTCTCCAATTGATCAGAAGGTCAAGCTGAGTGCAGAGGCAGAAGACCTAATTAATCGCGTAATTTACTAGAGATTGGTGAATCGTTTGATCTATCTGAATCGTACTCATTATGATATCTCATTTTCAGTAAGCGTGGTGAGCCGCCACATGTATGATCTAAGAAAATGTCATATGAATGCAGTGTATTAGGTTATGAGATGCCTGTAGCGTGTAATAGGGAAGGGTTTAATCTTCATGAAGAATAGGCATGCAAGCATTAAGGGCCAGTGTGACTCTGACTGGGGTAGTTGTACTGATGCAGGAAGTTCACATCTGGATACTACATGTTCATAAGGGACTTGGTCTCTTGAAAGAGCAAGAAATAGTTGATAGTAGAAATGTCGACAGTAGAGGCAAACATATCCATGGCCCGAAAGTTTGTCGAGATGATGTGATTGAGAGCATTGTTGGTAGAGCTCAAGATGGACCAAAGAGCTCAAATGAAGTTGTGGTGTGATAACAAGTCAGTAATCAACATTGCCAACAACCGAATGCAATATAGTAAAACAAAACATGTGGAGATTGATAGGTTTTCATTTAATAACGAATTACTGGAGCTAGTCTTGTAGCCACTGCAGAGTAAGTGGTTGACTGCCTCACCAAAGGCTTGACTCACTAGATTTGTCTAGATTATGTGACAAGATGAGCTTAGTGGGTATCTTTTACCCATCTTGAGGGGAAGTGTTAAGATTTGTATCTAATTTAGGATCCTATCTGTAAATAGAAAAATCTAGGGATTTATTTGTAAAATTTGTGAGACCCTATATAAGCCAAGGTCATTAATGAAATGGAATAGGGTTCAAGAGAAATCATTTCTTTACTAATCTTCCAATACCACCTCATTCATCTCACCCTCCCTAAAATTTCTCCTCAACCACATCAAAGCCCTAGCCTCTAATCAACTCACTGTTGAAACCTACCCAATTTGGAGAGCCTAGGTACTCAAACTATTTCAGACCAATGCTTCCAATAATTCCTAGATGACACATCCGCATGCCGCATTCAAGACCTCACAGATTTGAATTGGTAATTTCTTCCCCAATCTAGAATACATCAAATGGAGACAAATTGATCAAAAACTCTCTCTTTAGGCCTCTTCTCCATCATCCCCCCCAACATACTGCCCTTTGTTCTTCAATTAGACACCACAACATCCATTTGGTCCACACTCTAGAAACGCCTGCAATCAAAAAATCGTTCAAGAGTTATTCAACTCAAAAAAGAACTTCACCATATTTCAATTAAACAAAATATCATTACTAAACACCTCACCGAAGTGAAATCCCTTATAGACCAAATCACAGCTGTTGGCTCCTCAATCGACATTGAAGACATCATTCTGTACATTCTAAATGATCTCCCACCCATCTACAATCCTTGAAAGCAGCCATCCTCACAATACTTACCTCTATCCACCTAGACAAACTGTATTCTCTGCTCAGCAGCGAGGAAGCAAATGCCACAACCGAACTTACAAAAGGAACAAGCAACTTCTCAGTTAGCACTTCTGTCCATCAACACCAACCAAAATTCACCAAAATACAAAACCTCTGGCAGATCAACTTTCCACTCCAACAATCACTCAAATCAACCAACTCAACAACATCACAAAGAGTACAACCTCTGGTAGAAAAGTCAGTGCCAAATTTGCTTTAGCCATCTTTGATTTCTACAGTAAATATTATATTCAGGTTTAAACCTTCGTTTGGTTAATTTAACAATACATTTAACTAAGGTCCTCTTTTAGCAAAAGAGTATTAGTTTAAACCAATATGTCATCGACTTCTAACTACAATACAGGAAGGAACAAAATGTAGAAGTATGTTCGCAGAAGCAGCAATAGGGGCCTTACTAGATTCAGTTGAGACAGGAGAAAATCCAAGCTTGCAATCACTATCTTCATTCATCCTTTCAAATATCGGAGGAACTTTCGCCTGGACAGGAGAATCATACACCGCAGCCTGGCTCTTAAATAAAGCAGGATTAAAGGATTCATTTCATAGAAATCTGGTCAAATATGTCGATTGGCTCGACCCTTGCTTACAGGTTCTATACACATTATATGAATAAAAAAATGGATAATCATGTAAATCATGGTCTAAGATATTTATTTTTTGTGCAGGATTCTGAAATCTGTGCCTGGAATAGAAGGGCAGCAAAAGTAATCTTAAAATCTAGGAGATCTGCCTTCTGTGCATTAGCAAAGGGTATGCGAAGCCAACAACAGAGTGTTCGAAGGAATTGCATCATAACTATTGCATGGCTTGGAAGTGAAATGGAGGTTATTCGGTCAAGAAGACTAAGGTATTGTGCTTGTGAAATTTTGCTGGATGACATTGCTTCCTTTCTTCATCCAGGAACACAGCTTGATGAAAGGGTGATAGCGTGTCTGACCATCTACAATTACACTTCTGGTAAAGGTGGGTGAAATATTGTCAATAATGTAATTTATAGCAAGGTTTAAGAAGGCAAAATCGGGAAAATTAGGAGTTTTGCCATATGGAAAGAAAGCATAAACCTCAAAACTGATTGAGGCACTGAACTGAAATTAAAAACACAAGTAAAGTTTAAGAAAATTCATACATAGGTCATAAATCACCACTAAATTAATTGATTTTAATTTTCATAAAAAATATGCAAAATCTATGTTCTAATAGACAGCCTTCTTTCATACTTCTTGTTATTTGAGGCATTGGCCTCATATACTTTGAGACATAAAACGAGGCATACAACTTATATGAATAAACCACTCCAGATATAGGAATTTAAGTCTTGATGAAGTGAATAAAAGCCTCAAGGTAAGGCGCTTGCCTTTTTAATCATGATTTATATGCAAGTCACATATAGCAATTTCCCAAAAATGAAAGAGCAAATATGACTGCTTGAACTTGATCCATCATTTCATAAAACAAAGGGCTTCCCATATGCCAACTAACTTTGTGTTTCCATTTATTTCAACATATTGAGTATTCAACCGGTATTAGATTTAAAATATTATTTAAAATTAAGCAGACATCATCTTTAGGTTGTCAAAATTCAATTCTATCTACTGTACAAAACTATTAAAAACCTAACACGCAGATTCCAGTTTGTTAAAGTTTACTAGAGTTTTGTATTGATGCAGGTAAGGAGAAATTGCTTAACTTCTCAGAGGGAGTAAGAGAATCATTGAGACGCCTCTCCGGCATCACTTGGATGGCTGAGGAATTATTAAATGTTACTGATTATTTTCTTCCCACTAAACCAGTAATGACCTTGATAACTCTCCAGTATTTCTTTCATTAATAAGGAAATGCAGCATGAACTAGAGACAAAAGTCATATTCTATCATCATTCTTGTCCCATTTATTTGAGATAAACTTTAATTCTTATTTTTCATTTGTTTGTGCTAAGTGCTGGCTCTAATTTTACTTATTTTTGACAAAGCATCTTGAAAAACTTACAGTTAAATTTATGGTCTCTCCTTTTCCTCGAATAATATGTGATATGTGACATATTAATAAACATCAGAATGTAGCATTAAACTAGGAACATGAGCATTTTAATTTTCAATCCTCTCTATTTCTCTTCAGACTTGATATTTCACAGAGCACGACTAAGCAAAGTTTATCGAACCCAGCCTAAAATTCAAAAAATAAAAATAAAAATAACTAACTAACTAACTAACTAACTAACTAAATTCTCAAAAGTTTCGTCTTCATAATAGCAGTTGCTGTTAGGAGTTATCATTAATTCTAAGGAAATAATTTATTCTTATAAATAAATTATTTCCTTAGAATTAATGATATATTTATTTTCCTATTTTACGTTATTTCCTATATCTCCTAATAATTAACGAATTAATTATTAGAGATATTAAGTGTTATACCATTTCTTTCATATCATTTACCTTTTATTATTTTTCCTTTTACAAGATTATTATAAGGGTTATTTATAATCCAGTTCATATTAATGGAAAGGTGTGTACTCCACCACATTATTCTGAGTTTTAACATGGTATCAGAGAAAACACGATTCTAAGTCTTACCATCTCCTCTTCCACGCAAAAACCCCATCTATCTTCTTTCTAAGCCAAAACACATGGCAGACGAAACTCAAAATTCAGCAAAACCTGAATCTA